CCGTCCTCCACAGGGGGAGGGGAACAGGCGGGATCTCTCATAAGCACTTTGGTTTTACCGCCTGCAACCTCACTGTGCCCGCCCCGCACCATGCTCCTGCCCCAGGTCTAGCTGGGCCCATCGCAGGGGGCAGCACTTGGAGGCATCTCTGGCACTTGGGTGGGACCAAGTAGATGCCCCTTATAGACCCTTCCCTCACCTTCCTCCCCAGTACAGATTCCATTCTTTTCACCAGCACCCATCGCCCAAGGGGTACCGAGGGGGGCAAGGGGTGTCCAGTCCAAGCCCACCCCCCCGCCTCGCCTTCCGCAAAACTGTGAGCAAAAAGCAATAGAAGCCTCACCCCCGCCCCTCCCCTTTCCGCAAGATTTGCAGTCTGTAGCCTCCCCCATCCCAGCTCCTAGACCTCATGGCTGTCCACTTCCACCAGACACCACAGTACAGCTGGGGTGGGGGCGTGATCTCCCCCCCCCCACCCCATGATTTCCGTCTTGTCAGCCCTTCCAGCCACTGACCTAGGAGGGGTATGGCCCCCCACTGGCCTTCCCCTCCCCATCAACTCTTTCTGCTTGATGATGTAGCAACCGTGGCGCCCGACCCATGTCTTTCCCTTTTCCCTCTCCCTGACAATAAAGTCTGGATTCGTTGCCCTCTGTCCTTCAGTCTCAGACTTTCAATCTTTTCCCGCTGTTTTGGGGAGCAGTAACATCGGGATATGTAGCTGTATGGTGAGGGAGACAGGCACACATGAAAGGACAAAAAGAAGGAAGGGGTTAGGAAAACGGAGGTGGGAGGAGGCAAGATCTGAGGCTTCTGCAAAGCTAGCAGAGGCTCCCCATCGCACTAACCCCCACTCCGGTCCAGCTCAAGTGTAAACTTGGCCCTGGGGAATCATTCTGCGTCCAGGTCTCGGATTGCAGCCATGGCTGTTGAGAATACTCCACAACTCCACAAGGCGGCGCCAACGACATGAAAAAGGAGTCTCCCTTAGCGTAAGACTCCAGTGGTGTGTCTAGCGAGACAGGTCTAGACCCGGTCTCAGACAAAGGAAAAAAAAATCAAGGTTTTTGTGCCTCTGGTAGGAAACCCACGCCAGAAGCAGGCAAGGCATGAAAAGAAGTGGGGGCAGGGACCGGGAATCTGACCTCTACACTCTGCTTTGCCCCATATAAATAGTGTCCTTGGGTTAGTACTTCCCTTCTTTGGACCCCAGTTTCCGTAACTGCAAAATGAGCCCGTTTGGATCTCTTAAAAATTTACTAAGACTTCATGTATCCAAGACCAAAAAACTGGGACTGTATTATTTACAGATATGCTAGAATACCTTCTCATCTTGTGCCCTAAGTGTTCTGTGAAACAGAAGAGCACACTTTTCTCTTATATAATGGGGGGTGAGGGTGAGAGAGGTCTCCTCTCTATCTGCAGAATTCACTTCAACCACACACTCCCAAAAGTAGCCAATGACTCTCCGACCCCCTCCCCCTAACCCTGCTGGGTGACAGAAAGTTCAGGCAAAAAAAGGCTAGACCCGGAACCCAGAATCACCATGGCATCCTGAGTTGCATCATTGCTCATTTCCTCCTTTCTACCCCCCTTCCCAGTCTTACAGATGAAAAGGAGAGGGAGGTTGATGGCTGTTAAAGAGGAAGGGGAGGGGAATAGGGGCCTCCTGGGTTTGGTCTGGAAGTCTGGGTTCAGAAATGGAACCCAACAAGGAGTTTTGGGTTTGTTTGCTTGTTTTTATGTTCAGGTCTTTTGAACTAAAAAAATTTAAAAAGACAGAGACTGTATATCTAGATCTCTGGCCCTATAGGAGAGTGAGTGGAGAAAAGCAGGGGCTGGGTCACCTTTGGGGAGAGATAGGGACTAGAAGAAATTGAGGCTAGAGGCGTTAAGGTACGAGCATGCCCCACAACCACCTCAAACCTAATCTAAAACTCAATTCATCATTTACCCCTTCCCTAAAGCTCTTGTGCTCCCCTCATACCCTATCTTGTTGTGGTTTTGTTTTGTTTTTTTAATCTCTCTTTTGCCCTGGCTGGTGTTGCTCAGTGAATTGAGTGCCAGCCTGTGAACTGAAAGATCACCTATTCAATTCCCAGTCAGGGCCATGCCTGGGTTACAGGCGAGGTCCTGGGTTGGGGATGTGAGAGAGTCAACCGATGAATGTATCTCTCACACATTGCTGTTTCTCTCCCTCTCTTTCTCCCTCCTATCCCTCTCTCTAAAAGTAAATAAATAAAATCTTTAAAATATAAAAAATTAAAAATAAATATTTATTGATTGATTCCAGGGAGAGAGAGAGAAACATCAATGTGAGAGAAATATCTATCAGTCGCCTCTCATATGCACCCCAACCGGTGATCTAGCCTACAACTCAACCCACAACCTAGGTATGTGCCCTGACAGGGAATTAAATCTGCAACTTCTCATTTTACTGGACATAGCTCCAACTAGCTGAGCCATACTGGCCAGGGCTCCCTATCTTATTAAGAGCACCACCATCCACCTGGAAAAGTGGGATTCATCCTGTTCTTCCCTCTTTCTAACCCTTCATCTACAGTCACTACTAAGTCCTATTTGACTTCTTAATAACCTATAGATTCTGATTACTGTTCTCTATTCCCACAACCACTACCCTAACCAGAACTGGCTACATAATTTGTGGGGTCCAGTGCAACATAAAAAAAGCAGGGCCCCTTGTTCAAAAAAGATCTCAAGCCCTGGCTGGTGTGGCTCAGTTGGTTGGAGCGTCATCCTGGAAACCTAAAGGTCATGGGTTGGATTCCAGGTCAGGGCACATACCTAAGTTGCAGGTTCACTCCCTTGTTGGGGCACATTCATGAGGCAACTGATAAATGTTTCTCACATTGATGCTTCTCCCCCACCGTCCCCCCGTCTGGAATCAATGAATATATCCTCAGATGAGGATTGAAAAAATAAAGATCTCAAGACAGTGACTGCAGAACAGTAAACCAAGCACTGGGCCCTTGGCCCTATGTAATAACAGGTAGCATGGCCATGGAGCGGACCCTGACCCTAACTCAGGCACTACCTCTCCCTTGTCTGAATCGGTGCCTCTTTACTGTTCTCTCTCATTTCTGACCCACATGCTTTAACCCCTTATGGCTATTTTAGTGCTTATCTCCCCACTGTCTTCAGGATAAAACCCCAGCTCCTCAGCATGATATGTAAGACCTTCCTCGATCTCAGCCTTGCTCACTTCTCCAGGATCTTCTCTGCTGTTCCCTATCTCATACTCTGTTCACCTCTTCCTAAACCTCTATTAACTCTATGCATCCTATGCCTTTTGTCTAGAATGTCCTACTTATATTCCCCAAAATACTCCTGTTCATCATCTAAAATCTAGCACAGATCTATCTCTGTGGATCCTTTCTTGACCTTCTCCTTAACAGCTAGCTCCTTTCCTCTAAGTTCCTGATACACTTTATAGCAAGAGTTGCCAACTTTTTCTTAAAGGGTCAAATAGTAAATATTTTAGGGTATGCTGGCCAAGAGACAAAATTGAAGATATTATATAGGTACTTATATAACCATTCAAAATGTAACCATTTTAAAATGGAAAAAAAACATTGTTGGCTCATGGCCCACACAAAAACAAATGGCAGGCCAGATTTGGCCCATAGGCCAAAGTTTGCTGACCCCTGCTTTAGAGAATCAATTAAGCGTTTATATATTTACACATCTGTCTCCTCTACTAGACTATGCACAAGCCCATGTACCAAAACTCCTTATATCCCCAGTGTCTAATTAAGAGTCCAGTGAAGAGCAGGCACTCAGGACGCATTTATTGAGTGAATGGATGAATGCTTGAACTGAGCCCTGTGAGGAGTGAAGCCAGAATCCTGTTTCATTCCTGACCTTACTTCACCTGGCTCCTTTTCTCAGATGCGCTAGGATATCACATGGGGCCCTCTGATTTTCACCATCTCCAAGTCCTGGAGAGAGGGAAACAGTGCTCCCCTAAAACAGAGCCAAGACTTCTGGGGTCCTTAGAGTTGCTCCTGGAACTTGGTCTTGTCATTTGTCCCCTTGATAAGCGGCCCAGGTATCCTGATGCTCTGTCTCCATGCTTCGACAGTTCTCAATGATGATCTTGTAAGTGTTCTGCTATGCAAAAACAGGAAGGAAACAGAGCTTGCATATCAAGAAGAAGAAGGGAAGAAATGAGATGGCTTTGGTGTAAGTAGCAGAGGAGTTTCAACAAAGAAGTCCAGATTTTGCTAACCAAAGCAGAAGAAGTAGGACCGGAGGTGGGGAAAGAAGTGGCTAAGATTGAGTATCTGTGGAGTTTCTTTCTCTTTCAGTCTATTATAATAAGAGACATGAAAGCAAGATATCCCTTGTTTGAAGCCTGACTGCCCACTAGAAACTACTGCCCTTTCAGTAGGTTTGATTTCTTCTTCCACTGGAGAAAGAATTTAAGACTGGGAGACTCAGGTAACTAATTTTGTGGTGGGTGTACTTTTCTTTCTCTGTCTCTTCATCTTACAAGTGGTAAAAAAAAAAAAGAAAAGAAAAGAAAAGAAAGAAAGAAAGAAAAAGAAAAAAGAGGCCAGCATGTGTGTGTGGCAAAAAAGGGCAGAAAGGACTATAGTAGCATCTTGGATACAGAAAGGGGACTCCTGGGTGGTGTTAGGGGGTAGAGAAAGAATTTTAAAAGTTCGAGGGCACTGGGGTTACTGAGAGTACCTGGATGGATATTGAATGAGGCCTAGAGTTTGGAGTGGACAGAGACTATGAAATACTTAGGTAAGAATTTGAGAAAATCTTTGAGAATGGGAAAAGTCTAATAAAGTCTAAGGAGAGAGTTAGAATTGGGAATCTTGGGATAAAGAGGCTTGGGAATGGCTCAGGAGCCTGGTGAGCTCTCAGAGCAGTTCAGGTATCCAGGGGCCCAGAGTTCAAGAGATCTAAATTCAAAGTCAAGTTCTGACTCCCTCTTCTTCTCCCATCTGCCACCCACTTCAGCCTTCATCATGTGGAACACCTCTGATGCCAACTTTTCCTGCTACCATAAGTCTGTGCTGGGCTATCGTTATGTGGCAGTTACCTGGGGGGTTGTGGTGGCTGTGACAGGCACCATAGGCAATGTGCTCACCCTGCTGGCCTTGATCATCCAGCCCAAGCTCCGTACCCGCTTCAACCTGCTCATCGCCAACCTCACAGTAGCCGATCTGCTCTACTGCACCCTTCTCCAGCCCTTCTCTGTGGACACCTACCTCCACCTGCACTGGAGAACTGGAATGACCTTCTGCAGAATTTTTGGGCTCCTCCTCTTTGTATCTAATTCTGTCTCCATCCTCACCCTCTGCCTCATTGCCCTGGGACGCTACCTCCTCATTGCTCACCCTAAGCTCTTTCCCAAAGTGTTCAGTGCCAAAGGGATGGTGTTGGCACTAGTGGGCACCTGGGTGGTAGGTGTGGCTAGCTTTGCCCCTCTTTGGTCTCTCTATATCTTGGTGCCCGTAGTCTGCACCTGCAGCTTTGACCGCATCAGAGGCCAACCCTACATCACCATTCTCATGGGGATCTACTTTGTGCTTGGGCTCAGTAGTGTTAGCATCTTCTATTGCCTCATCTACCGCCAGGTGAAGCGATCAGCACAGGCACTGAATCAGTACAAGCTGCACCAGGCAAGTGTCCACTTCAGCCATGTGACTGGGATAGATAAAGCCATGCCCAGTCATTTCCAGGAGCTGGACAGTGGGATGGCATCCAGAGAGCCCAGTGAGGGGATTTCATCTGAGCCAGTCAGTGCTGTCACCACCCAGAATCTGGAAGAAGACTCATCAGAAGTGGGGGACCAGAGCAACAGGAAAGTAACTAAACAGATGACAGAGAAAAGCCTTCCACAAGCACCTGCCAAGGACAGGACAACTAAAGGAACCCAAACAGCTCAGGACTCTCCATCAGAGTTTAGGAAAGTGACTCGGATGTGTTTTGCTGTGTTCCTTTGCTTTGCCCTGAGCTACATCCCTTTCTTGCTGCTCAACATTCTGGATGCCAGAGTCCAGGCTCCCCGGGTTGTCCACATGCTTGCTGCCAACCTCACTTGGCTCAATGGTTGCATCAACCCTGTGCTCTATGCAGCCATGAACCGCCACTTCCGCAAAGCTTATGGCTCACTCCTAAAACGAGGCCCCCAGAGTTTCCGTAGGTTACGTTAAAGCTGTGTTCCAGTCACCAGAATCTCAGACTGTTTCATCCAGAACTAGAGTGGCCAACCGGTATGGGAGAAGATGAAAGTAAGACGTGTGGGCATTTTCACAGACAACTTCCCCTTAACCCCCAAACCAGGCCTCTCTATCCCTTGTTCAGTGTTTCAGTTCTAGGTTGCTCAAGGTGCATTATTAATTATCAATAAATGAATTCCATCCTTATAATGATCAGGTGTGGTTTTTGGGGTAGGAGGAAGCAGACCAGTGTTGGCTTGCAGCTATAACTTAATAGCAGAGGGTTTGAGGGGATCCAGGTCAGAGCAGAAGCAGGAAGCAGTGGGCTTGAGATAGCCTTCAGCAGAGGCATTTCCAGGTATAAAACATGTGAGTTTGTTTAAGAGGATTAGCCTTCCTTTTTGTTTAACTTCCCAGAAATGGCCCTAACCCCCTACTACTGCTGCCAGGATCCCCCAGTCACTGCAAACGTGTGTTTCAGCTCAAAACAAAATTTTAATCCAGCTTTTTTTTTTTTAAATTATTGATTGACTTTAGAGAGAGGAAAGGAGAGAAACATCATTTTGTCATTCCACTTATTTATGTATTCATGGGTTGATTCTTGTATGTGCCCTAGACCAGGGATCAAACCCACAACTTTGGAGTATTAGGACAATGTTCTAACCAACTGAGCTACCCAGCCAGGGCTCAAGCCAGCTTTGATAACAACTGTAGTGAGGCTAGCCTCCTAGCCCTTGCCTTATCCAAAAAGGATGGCCATGGGAGAGGACTCTTGCTCTGCAGAAATGGAACTGAGCTTAGCTGAGACAATGACAGATAGGTAGTTGCCCTAGCAGGGTCACACTGGTTGGAGCTAATTCACCTTACCCCTCACATTTCCCCAAGACTTGCTCTTGTCATCCTGGGTTCTGAAAGCAGAACAGAGACAGTAGTTAAGAGGGCTAAGGGACCAGGTTGAGAGGAGATCATACTATTTTTTCCTGTAGACCGAACAATATCCAGTCACTCTAGTGCATGCACACACGTGAACTGACAGCACCTGTGACCACCAGGTGACGCTGGTTCTCTGTGTTTCCTTTTCCTGTTGAGGACAGAAGATAGAGGGACCGGGAGTCCAGAGAGATACACTCTCCCCTCCCAGCCAGCAGGGGTGGAGACCCCTATCTGTACCCCTCCCTTTTCCTCAAACTTAGGAAGAAAAATGAAGAATTATACTTGAAGAAAAAAAATATATATTAGCCATGAGATATTTATTTCCTACTTGGTTAGGGTGGTGGAGCAGGGTGGCCATAATGCTGACACTGGGGATGGAATGTGAATCATGTTAACAGTGACACTGCTCTGCTGGAATGCTGTTTCCTCCCTGCCCCCAAGTCCATGGTTTGAGAGAACAAAGTAATGTCCAGAGAGAATTCAGACAAGGAGAAAAAAAAATAACTATAGTGAGGTGGGCAGATCTATGCTCTCACATTTAACATACTTCCAAGGCCCAGATATCCTGACTCCTAATCTAGAACATGTGCTTGTGGAGTGTCCTCTTCCACAAAAATCACAACAGCCTAAACTGAATCAAGTTCTATCTGCCCAGGCAGGGGCCCAGACAGGTGGCATGAACAATAAAAGACCACAAAGAACATGTGCCTGGGAGTGTAGAGACCAGGGTTTTAGTCAAGGTTCTTTGATAATTAGTTCTGTGAACCAGAACAGGTTCCTTAACTCTTCTGGGCCTCAGGCTTTATTTTCTGTATAAAGAAGAGGGTGGGGTACATTCTTATGTGCCCCAGGACTGTGCTAAATCCTGTAAATACTGTATATTATTTTGTGTAATCCCCACAAAATTTACAGTGAGTACCTATTATAATATCTTGCTTACAAATGAAAAAAAAAAAAAAGTGAAGCACAATTTGAGTTAACCAATTTATCCAAGTCAAAGAACTAGTAAGTGGCATGACCATGATTTTAGGGCAGATTCTAGTCTCACAGCAGTACCAACAGCAGTACCAAAGTCTACAAGACAGCAATCTTTCTAAAATTCGAATCAAGAGACCAACTGATCCTTAAGTCCTGCCCAGACATTCTAAGATTCTGAAAGTTGACAGTTCTCTGAAGCATTGTAAAAGGGTTCAGTTTTCATATTGCTTAAAAGCAATTCAAAAGTTTTAGCAAGTAGAAATGAGCAGCAATAGGGATTGAGGTTAGACATCAGGAGGGACTTCCCAATTATCAGTCGCTGAAAAAAAATGACTCAGAGGGACACAGGACAAAACCCTGGAGTCTGGGGCCAGAGAGAACAGATCTTAGCAAGAAAGCAACCCATTCCTCTCTCACCCTCCACAGCTCAAATACCCACCCCCGCCCCTAATTTCAATTGGGGCTGAGTGAGGGAAAAGAGACGGAAGATCCTCTCTCAGGCTTTCTCTCTCCTGCGGGTGTGCATGAGCGTGTCCACGCATGAAGTCCCTCATGATGCAGAGCCCACGTGTGTCTCGGGGGAATATGTGCATTTGGGGTCCCTCCTGAATATGAGTGTGTTCCTCTCCTTGTCTCTTTATCTCTGTTAGTCTACCGCCTGAGCCCGAGCTGTATAGCTGACTTTCTGACGCTATCTCTCAAGGCTTCTCTTTGTCTTTCTTCATCTGTCCGTCTGTCCTGTAGGCTGTCTTCATCTCTTGTACCTCTTATCGCCTTTTTTCTCAAGAGCTCCTTCTCTCCCTCCTCCCTCTCCACTCTTCTCCCTAGTCCCCGCACCCCCGCCCCCGACGCTCTCGCTCGCCCGCACACTCTCTCTCTTTCGCTGTCTCTTACAGGCAGATTTATGGTCAACTCAGGGCTTTTCATTGGCCAAACGCTGACAGGATTTGATTTAATGCCGCCTCTCATTGGCTGAGCTTGACAGTCCGATTTACGAGGCACTCTACCATTGGCCAAACTACCTTGGGCTTTGATTTACGGCTCAGTGCCTGCAGGGAAGGGGGGCGCAGCTGGGGAGAGGGGATGCCCCTCCTCTTGCCACCGCTTCCGTCTCCCTCTCCCCAGCTTTTCCCCCTCTTTCTCTCCCTCCCCTCAAGGAACCGCACTCCCTCTACCTGTTCCTCAAGTCCCCTCCTCCCCTCTCTTTCGCCTAGCGAGAGGGGAAAATGGGGTGTGTTGGTGGTGGGAACTGAAGCAGAGGATGGGGTTTGAGTGGGTAAATATGGGCGGAGAAATCTGAGGGGTCGGAGTTGGGGGTAGGGTAGGGACAGAAGAGATGACTGGAGAGGGAGAGGAAATTGAACTGAAGAGCTAAGGGAAAACTGAGGAGGCGAAAGGGGCAACAGAAAAAAAAAGGAAGGCTGAGGAGAAAAGACTGGGGGAGTGAAAAAGGAGGTGATTTGAGAAGATGGAGAGACTGAAAAGAAAGGGTGCATTGAAGGAGGCAAATGGGGTGAAGCGGGGAGATCCGGGAACTGAGAAAGACTTCTTTTCAAATATCATTATCCAGATTGAGTAAGAGGGGAAATTTGCTCTTCGGACAATGGCTCTGAAAAGGGCGAGGCTGACAGGAGCAAAGACTTAAAGAAAGGCTCAGTACAGAGGTGAGGGGCAGGAAAGGAGAACTGGAAGGTAATACTGAAGAAAGGAAGGAAGGAGGAAGGAGAATTAATGGAGAAGACAGAACTAAGGTTGTTTTTTCATTTGTTTGTAGGGGCACGTAGTGAGAAAAGTCTAACTTCCAGAGGAACTATTGAGAGAAACAACTCCTACTTCTCTCAATGAAGACCCATAGGTGCTGGCAAGAAGACAAGTTAGGTGCCTCCTTCAGAGGTTCTGCTTCCTCAAGGCGGCAGTAGGCTCCCCATTCGCTACACCTCACTTCTTTCCCTTGCCCATTCCCCAGTCAGGGCTGGCCTGCAGGAATTAGGAATATTTAAGCTTCTTTGAGAGTGAGTTTTGGAAGGTGATAGATAAGGGATGCGGGTGGAGCTGGGGACTCCTATTTTTAGTATGGCCACTTTCCCAAGGCCCCCAACCCACCACTCACTTCCCTCTTATCCTGAGCCAGAGGAGGGAGTACTGAAGTAGGTAGAGATTGAGTTTCAGGCAGGGGGTTTGACTCTCCCGGAGAGACCCGCAGAAGACTACAGATCTTTGCAGCAGGATGGATTGAAGGCAGATGGGAGAGGAACTTTCCAAGCAGCCTAGCAGTCACATAGCCCCGGGAGTGCAGTTACAGCATTTCCGCAGAAGATAGGGTGAAATGGGGAGAAGCCAGTTTCTTCTCGGCTGCCCTAAGCTCAGTTGCTGAGAAATAGGGAAACTGTGAGGAAATTCAGAGGCAGGTGTCTTTGGCATGTCCCCTCCCTAACAGGGAAAGGAAGATTTGAAATCCCCCACTGGTGCCCTACCCACCCACCACAGCCCGGGTACCTGGGAAAGGAGGCAAGGGATGTGGGGCAACTCCTAGGAGTCTCAGCCCCCATTTTGTCCACCCCCACTGCTGGCTGAGATTGAAAACCCCTTGCCCTGGGCCTCCAGGAAATGAGGGAGGAGAGAGAATCCTGCCTGGGGATCCACATGCCTTCTCTGGCACTCAGCTCCAGGAGCCATGTGTCTCTCCCCAACCCACACAGAGGGCTTGCTCTGGGCTTGGGTAGGTCGTGAACAAAAAAGGGGTCCATGCTATAAGGGGGGATCTAAAGAGAACAGAACAGAGAGAACTAGGGAAGAGCTCTCCCCACCAAACATGCAAAAGTGGCCACAGTGCAAGTGTGCCCACACATATCAGACTGTGCTGCTTGGAGTGGGAGAAGGGAGGGAGAGAAGGGTCTAGACTGGCCCTTTAAGAGCCACTTAGGGTCAGAAAGCCTGGGCTACAGAAAGGGGAAGGAGCTGATGTCAGAAGACGGATGGGCAGCAAGATGGGGATTGATGCTAATGGGGGAGTTAAAGCTAAGTACCCAGACACTCAGAGGGCAGAACTGCAGATCTGTCTTCCTTATGCTCACAGCCCCCCTCCCCAAACCAAGGCTGTAAATCTGCCTTCTCAACTAGGGGAAAAGGGAGTGAG